TGGAATAAGCCTTGCTACAAAGCTTAAAGTTTACCGAGCAGTAGTACTAACTACCCTGTTGTATGCCAGTGAGACTTGGACTGTATACACAGGAAGCATGCTAGGCAACCGAACCACTTCCACATGACTTGCCTCCGCAGACTTCTGAGGATCCGGTGGCAGAACAAGGTGCCAGACACAGAAGTCCTCTCCAGAACAAGCCTGCTGTCAGTTCACACCCTGCTGATGAAAGCCCAAACATGCTGGGCAGGCCATGTTGCAAGAATGCCAGACCATCGCATCCCCAAACAGCTCTTCTTTGGTGAGCTGTCTTAAGGAAAGTGATCACATGGGGGACAAAAGAAGCAATACAAAGGCATGCTGAAAACCTCTCTCAAGTCCCTAAATATCGACACCACCTCCTGGGAGACCCTAGCACAAGATCAATCAACATGGCGCACGCTGCTCCACCAAGGCTGTCAGACATCTGAAGCTAGAAGGACAACCATAGCATAAGAGAAGCAAGCACTCTGTAAAGCCAGAGTTGCAAATGCTGCAACAGTGGTGCCCACACGTCTGCCTAACAAGTGGCAGAACATTCCGTGCCTGTGTGGCTACCTGTGGACACACCGTGAACAACCCACAACTCGTTAGATGTCAAAGTCCTATTCGAAAATGATGGACAAACATCATCACATTTTAGCTGTTGGGAAGAACAATTCTACTTCCTATGTCTGAGCCATCGGATAGTTTGGATTCCCAGATCTGAGGCTGGAGACTGCACTTGGACCTCAGAGCTGGGAACTGCCATTCCACTACCCAGCCCTGTAGAAAGAGCTGTACTGACTGCTCTCCAAAACCAGGAAGCCAAGTTCAAAGACAGTGGAAAGGGGGTGTTTCAAGGGAGCAGAGGAAACAGGAAAGCTCAGCATACAAGCTGTTTGGATGCCACTCCAGGGTTTTTGCCTCTCCCTCCAGTAGACTCCAGTTAGAAGCCATCTCAAATGTCGAACAGGAAGAGTGGAGGTGAAGATGATTTCTCCTCCTTCCAGTGGTGGTATGAAGAAGCTGCCTGCTATGTCCAACCATCTGCAGTCCATGGGCACTTGCTGAAATGAGGCTGCTGGGACCCTAATGATCTCTGTTGCATCTGATCACCCTAGATGAATTGGCTTTTTGCCACATGTGATTCACTTCCTGTTGCCCCAAACTACCTTAGATTCTTCTGTCTGGTTTTTTTCTCCCCACCCCCTGAAATGAAAAGCCCTCCTTTCCCTTGTCATGTATCCCTTTTTACAAATGGTTGTGTTCTTAGAAGACAGGGTCCACTAAAGAAACACACAGACTTCAGAGCATATGTAAACTAGCATGTGCACATTTGCTTTTATTTTATTTTATTTTATTAGCTTTTTTTTCTAATAAGCTTTATTTGAAATTATAATCCTAAAAACAAAGAAAAACTAAAAACTGCATCAATCATCAAAAACATCAGGTCAGCCCCCACATTTTTTTTCCATTTATGATAACTTAAAAACATATTTAAATCTATACGAAGTCCTATTTCTCTAGCCAATAATAAAAAGAATCCCAAGTTTGATAGAAGTCAGTATCTTCTTTCTCCTTCAGTGATAAAGTCAATCTATCCATTTCTGCACAGTCCAAAATCTTTTTAAAATCAGTTTGTCGGTGGGTAGTTCTTCACTTTTCCAGGGTTGAGCAAATGTAATCCTCGCTGCAGTAATTACATGTAAAATCAGATACATTTCTTGCATACTAATGTCCAGAGATGTAATGCCTAATAAGAAGACTTCAGGTTTAAAAGCTAAAGGTTTTTGTAACATTTCGTCAAGCCATTTATGTATTTTAATCCAATACTTTTTTGCATTATCGCAGGTCCATCACATATGATAAAAAGTACCCAATTTATGTTTACATTTCCAACATTCATTTGACATATTTGGAAACATCTTAGCTAATCTGTTTGGCGACAGATACCATCTATAAAACATTTTATACAAGTTTTCTTTATACGAAGTTGCTAATGTTACCTTAATATTTCTCTCCCATAGCTTTTGCCATTTTTCTAATTCAATATTATGTTCAAAATTTGTGCCCATGTTATCATGGTTTCCTTAACCTGTTCATCTTCTGTTCTCCTATCAAGTAAGAAATTATATAGTCTTTTAATCATTTTCTCATCTGATTTAAGCATCACTTGATCAAACGCTGTTAAATCCTTATAAAAGCCCCACGCTTTATAGTTCTTAGCATATCTCGATTGTATCTGCACCTTGTGCCACCAAGAGATATTAGATCCCTGTTCTTGTGTTTCTTGATTCAATTTCAGTTCTCCATCCTTATCCAAAATGTCATCATATCTTATAATCCCTTCAAAATTCAATGCATTTGGATATACAAAAGCTTCCATGGGTGAAAGCCATCTTGATAATTTATTATACAATTTTGTCTTTAACTTTTCCCACACCAACATTAATGACTTTCTAATATAGTGACTTAAAAAAGAGCTATGTAACTTAGCCTTCTCATACCACATATAAGCATGCCAGCCCATTTGCAAATCACGCCCTTCAAGATACAAGATTCTCTTATTTCTTAAAGTTATCCATTCTTTTAGCCATGTTAAAACAGAAGCTTGATAATACAACATCCAATCAGGGAGACCAAAGCTCCCATTCTCTTTAGCCTCCTGAAGTATTTTTAGTTTAATCCTTGGTTTCTTTTCTCTCCATATAAATCTTTAAATTTGAAAATTTAAATCATCAAAAAATTTTCTATCAATTTTTATGGGAATCATTTGGAATATAAACAAAAGCTTTGGTAATATATTCGTTTTAGCTAGTGCTATTCTTCCCAGCAAGGATAATGGCAAATTAGCCCGTTTTTCCAAATCACTTTTAATATCCTTCCATAGTTTATCATAATTGTCTTCTTTCAGAGTATACACTTAGCTGTAAGATAAATGCCCAAATACTTAACCTTTTTAACAATCTGCAAATCTACTTGTTCCTGCAGAGTTTTTCTCTGGTCTTGTGTGAAATTTTTTACTAACAGTTTCGTCTTTTCTCTATTTATTTTCATCCCAGTAACCTCACCATATTCTTCAATCCTTTGTAGGAGTTTAGGCATTGTTGCAAAGGGTTCCTTTGTTATGAAAACTAGATCATCTGCAAATGCTTGCAATTTATAGCTTTCATCTCTAATTCTAGTACCTTTAATGTCCGCATCATCCCTGATATTTCTGTTTAACACTTCCAAAATCAATATAAACAACAGAGGTGATAACGGGCATCCTTGTCTTGTACCCTTTTGTATATCTATAGTATTTATAAATTCTCCATTAATTATAATCCTAGCCTACTGTTTTTGATAAATGCTTGATATCGCATTAATAAACTTTTCACCAAACTCCATTTGAGCCATCTGTTGCTTCATAAGTTGCCAGTTAACATTGTCAAAAGCTTTCTGTGCGTTCATGAATAATAAAGCCATTGGTTTTTCCGTATGTATCTCATAATATTCTAAGATAGTTCTCAAGTTATTCCTCATTTGTCTTTTAGGTAAAAAACCATTTTGGTCTGAGTGAATAAAGTCTGTTAGGTACTTCTTTAATCTTTCTGCCATTATGGAAGCAAAAATTTTGTAATCCACATTTAATAGTGATATATTTATTAGCTTTTATTTTATTTTATTTTATGACTGTTGACCTGATCATGTTGGTACCTAGCACCACCTGTGCCTCCCACAATGCTTAGGATACCCATCAGCCTCTACGTTCAGGTGCTTATAGGCATCAAAATTGGATTGCACCCAAGTGATGTGGAATTCACTTAGCCAGTTGGATTCACTTCTTGTTCTTTGGTGTGAGAGATGACAGACATGATGTAAGGATGCAAAAGAAGGCTTCCCAGTGGCCACTTCCAGGCTCAGGAACTCCCTGCCAAGGGAACTCAGGTTAGCACCCTGCATGTTCTTACACCAGCAGACAAATATATTTTTATTCAACCAGGCCTATGGGAAATACCCTGGTTGGTTGCTGAATGGGCTTTGATTGGTTGGTGCTGTTTTCATTCCTTGATTTTTAATTGTTTTTGTTTTTATGCTATTTTAATTAAGATTTTATTTTTGTTGTTTGACATGTTGAGTGCCATTCCCTTGGTAGAACAGCCAGATATAGAATAAACAAAAAGATAGATGTCTCAGTTTCTTTAAGTAATCAGGATAATCCCAGACTTCATACATATCAAATTTATTAGCAAAGTCTGAGTGTATTAAGCTTTATATGTAAATAGATTGTTCTTCATTTAAGTGAAACACAGTTGCATATTTCTACAATTCTACATTTGTCCACAGACTGACCATTTGTAAACGTGATATTGTTTGTTTCCACATGTAGAATGTGATGCTAACTATTTGCATATAAAAACCTTTTGCAAATGTGTCTTGTGGGGTCACTTTATGCTTTAGAATAATAAGTATGAAATTTGGGTTTAGTGAAAAAAAAATCATATCCAAGACATGGGCAGTTTCTTTACAGTCACATATTGCTTCTATCCATGTGTATTTTTACCAAATGATGCCTATGTAAGAAGGTGAGAAATCAGGTGAAGGGGTACAAAATTGTAGATTGCTGTAAAATATTTAAGTATCTCCCTAATAGTTGGACATTAAAAGCAAAAACAAAACCCAAAAAAAGCAAGCAATTTGTTCTCACTTTCTCTTCAGAGAACAATATATGGACTTGATTTTCCTCTAGCAAAAATAATCAGAAAGCTTCAAAAATCAAGGAATTGTTACATTTTGCTTTGCAAAAACAGCTTGATATTTTATACTGCATCAAATCCATGCATTTCCATTCTAAATCCTTTACTCCTCGCCATAACCACCTCTTATGCAGAAAAACAAGCCAGCTCTTTTGCTTTAATTACAGCTATCAGGAATTCATTATTTCAAGCCTGTGCTCATTTAATCAATTCCTCTTCTCCTTTAACTTTCCTTCTCAGCTCTCCAAACACCTTTGGATACACTGGCAAGGTTCATTGGTCAGCCACCCAACCAGTAAATTCTAATCTTCCACCAACATCACCATCCATAATTTCACGAATGTATGGGTAAGTATGAGGCACATTACTTAATTTGCTCAGATACATTAAAAGGAAAATCCTAATTAGGGTTATTTCATTAAAGAACAATTAAATATTGAGCATGACATTTCTTTAGTTTAGAAAAAATAGGAAGCAAATCCCATCATAAAGATAATCGGGAAGATTTGGAACCCCTTTGCATTTGAGTCTGACATTTGTATTTCCTTTGAAATTAGAGAGAGGAACAGAAATCTAAAATACTCAGGGCTCTGTTATATTTGTGATGACTTTATGTTATGTCTTCTTGTTTTTTTTCATTAAAAAGCAAAAAAGCTGCTGCTGAAAGATTTGGGACCATGGTGGTGGGGAGGCATATAACACTTGCGTCCAAAGCTTTTTAGAGCTTCCCTTCCAAGGAAGTAGCAGTTCCAAGGTGGGTGTAACAGATTTCCCTGAAGCAATACTCTGGAAGAAAGGGCTCCCCAGTGTGGTGTCCTCCAGATGTACTGAGCTGGTAATTGTGGGAGCTGTAGGCTAGAGGGCACCAGGTAGGGAAAGGCTGCTTGAAACCCTCCTTCTCGTGCTTGGTGGTCACAATCCTAGCTGAGCCCTTCAGGAGCTGCTATTGACAGAAAAAAACAACAGCACCTGCATTAATGTCATGCAGTTTGGCCCAGTTTCTTTCCAGAGCACCATCCATGTTTAGAGTGGTTTACTAAGAATTGCAAAGCAAATTCCTCCTAACTTGCCTCACAGATTCCCATAGGCTCCATTCTCTCTAGACCCACTTAAATGAGTGAAACTGAACAGAAGCTACTGAGCCTGAAATTTACATCCCTCTGAGAAAGATTTCCTTCTTCTCTTGTGTTTGCAGTTACCTGGCTACACATGGGCATCCCACTGAATTTCCACATCTGGGGCCCTTGTCACAGATCCTTACACCAACTGAACCACAAAATTCTTTCAACAAGAAGGAAAGAGAGAGAGTTTCAATTTAAGTTCATATTTGTCTCCAGTAACACAGCTCCAGGCTTCAAGAGAAAAGGTAAAATGAAAGAGCTTGTGAAAGGTATGCTTAAATGGGAGGGAGGGTGACAACAATCAAATGTTTGCTTTCATGACATAGAAAATCTCATATTCTATAGGATAACCTATTCAGGTATACACCAATTAAATATATGTGTACTTTCTGACTTTATAGGATGCTTTTTAAAATTTCTACAGCACATATGCCTACCATAACTCACAAAATCCCAAAGCTTTTTCCAACCATTTCTAATTATTTCATCATTTCCGGTCACAAAGATCATGGATGCCAGAAGTGCCACATTGCACTCAGATGACCAAGGTCACATCCCATTACTGCTCATGTCTGTAGGTTCTGAAGCAGCAGCTTGAGGCTGAGGTCAGCAGAAACACCTAACACAGCACCCATCTCTTGCTGCACCCACATAACTACTGATAGTGTGATCCTTACCCCAGGTCCTAGTTGAACTGCCCCAAATACTGAGTGCAGTTTCTTATGAAATCTTTCCACTTTGATGCAGCTATGCCCAACCAGTTGTGTGACTCACCAAAAAGAACTCAGTCTGTCAACTATTCATGCTGACCCACCAGAGCCTGGATAAGGCTTCCTTGTTTTGCTGCCTGTCTGGGACAGCATGGAGCTACCTTAATAGACAAGTACCTGCTAAGCCACCATGCATGATAGGTGAGCTGTATTTAACTTGTCAAGGCCCAAGTTGTATGTGCCTCTCTTTGACTCATAGCCCCCAACCCACTGACGGTAAAAGGATTGATATGACATGACATTTGACAAATGTCAGAATTGTGGTGACCAGACTCCCTTATTACTGGAGCATTTTCTCTTGAAAGAAAGCTATGTCTGTGCACGCCAACTCCCCACCCTGCTTTTTTTGTTATCACTGCCTTCCCACCCACCCACCAAGGTACAGACTTTACAAAATGAACATGCACATTGACTTCCTTTCACCATAGAGACATCTCCCCACTGCTGTGCTCTGCCCCATTCACTTCTGTCTCTCATCCATAGCTTCTAACTAATCTTTGCAAACCCTGATTATAGTTAACCAGGGCTGCAATTAACATTAGTACAGATGGGACACAATTAGCTTTTAAAGGGGGAAAAAAATGGAGAGGAAGAATATGCACACTTGATGGGAGGAGAAAGAGGAAGAAGGGAAGATTGCAAAAATTTGTAGTCTGTTCCTGATCCCCTAGCTATAGTTCAGAGATTGGAGATGCTATTTCTATGCCTTAATCATATTTCTCCCTTCTTAAATTACATCAATCTTGCCTAAATAAGCTAAAACAGGGCTAACTTCCTGCATGATGTCCAAGTGCTGCAAGGCACAGAGAAGCCCTTTACTAGGAATTAGCTGTTTTTCAGGTGTAAATTAGCATCTGAAGCTTTCTCCATGAGAAAACATTGAAACATAGAAAGAGAGCGAGTCAGAAGAGGGCCTCCCGGGCCATCTAGTCTGACCCCTGGCTCCAGCCAGCTCCACTCACAACATGCCCACCATGTGCATGTCCAGCCTATCTTTGAACACCCTCACCAATGAGGCCTCAACGACCTCTCGTGGAAGTCCATTCCATACCCTGGGGGTCCTAACTGTCAGGAAGTACTTCCTGGCATCTAAATTGAACCTTGGTTCCCTGATCTTTGCTCCGTTGGAACACATCCTGCCCTCCTCTGTAGGGGAGAACAGGTCTCTACCCACCTCCGTGTGACACCCTCTCACATACCTGAATGTCGCCAACATATCCCCCCTGAATCTCCTCTTCTCCAGGCTGAAAAGGCCCAGCTCCCTCAGTCTCGCCTCATACAGTATCCCCTGCAAACCAGCCACCAACCTAGTGGCCCTATGCTACACTGACTCTGACCTGGCTATATCCTTCCTGTAATGAGGGGCACAATACTCCAGTTGCAGGTGCACCAGAGTCATATAGAGTGATAGTAATACCTCTCTCGATCTAGAAGCCACACTTCTGCCTATGCAACCAGGGGTGGTGTTCACCCTCTTAACTGACTCATATTCAGCCTGCAGTCAACCAGCATCCCGAGATCCCTTTCACAAGTGCTGTTCTCCAGCAACATGTCCCCTAACCTGTACTTATGACACCCATTCCTATGCCCCAAGTGCAAGGCCTTGCACTTATCCACATTGAACGCCATCCTGATGTCTCCTGCCCACTTCCATAGTCTGTCCAGATACTTTTGGATCTGGAGTACCTGCTCCTCAGTTGTGGCCGCTGCCCCAGTTTTAGTATCGTCTGCGAATTTGATCAGCAGACAGTTCACCCATTCTTCCATGTCATTTATGAAAAGATTAACCAGGATTGATCCCAGGACAGTGCCCTGGGGAACCCCGCTTGTCAGTGGCTGCCATCCCGATGATTCCCCACTAATGGTTACCCTCTGCTTTCGGTCAGTCAACCATGCCCTAATCCATCAGACAGTACTTTGGTCTATCCCAAAATTCCTCAGTTTCTCCACCAGGATATCATGGGGCACTTTGTCAAAGGCATCGCTGAAGTCCAGGTAAACCACATCCACTACATCCCCTCCATCTAGCCATCTCGAAACCTTGTCATAGAATTCCACAAGGTTTGTCTGGCAGGACCTGTATTTGCAGGAACCGTGTTGTGTGGCCGCCAGCCTCCCTTCCGTATCTAGCATCACTAGATCTCTCACTATTAGGAGCCTTTCCACTGTTTTTCCTACAATGGATGTAAGGCTAACTGGTCTTTAATTCCCCATGTCCCTTCTACTACCCTTTTTGAAAATTGGGACCACTGACACCACCCTCCAGTCCTCTGGAACTTCACCTGTTCTCCACGAGGCCAGTGGGCGTGAGAGATGCCAACTCTCTAAGTACTCTCGGGTGTAACCTGTCAGGTCTGGCGCCTATATAACGTCCAATGCCCTGAGAAGCACCTCGACTACTAGGGGGGTGACTCTAATCTGTGCCCCTAAGTCCCCAGCCTCATCTAATCTCCTATGCGGATCTCCCCTGTCCTGCTTTGGGGAGAACACAGAGGCAAAATAGTCATTTAGCATCTGTGCCTGTTCCCTCATATCAGTCACTGGATCTCCTTCCTCCTTATTTAGCGGTCCCACTACTTGTCTCCCCTTCCTCTTCCTATTTACTCATACATGCTGGTGGAAGCCCTTTTTGTTGCTCTTGATGTTCTTTGCAAGTCTCAGTTCGTAATCAGCCTTAGCCTTGTGAAGAATCCTTCTGCAATGGGCCTCCTCCTCCTGGTATACCCTTTTGTCTATTTGCCCATTTCCTGCAGATGTTCCTCTTGTGTCTAATCCCTCTAACCACTTTTTTTCGCATTCATGGCAGCATTCTCTTTCGCCTCCCCACCTTACTAACTAGACGTATCGTCAAGGCTTGTGCCTCCAAAACCTCCCTTTTGAGTGCTATCCACCCCTCCTCAGCTCGCTTGGCTTCCAGTAACCTATCCCAGGAGACTTTCCCCAGTCTGGCCTGCAGTTGGCCAGAGTTGGCCCCCTTGAAGTCCCAGCTTCTAGTGCTCGACCTGCTGCACGTCCCCAGTCCCCTGATCTCAAAACAAAGGATGGAGTGATCACTTGCATCCAGAGCTCCCCTAATCTGTACCTCATCTATCAGCCCCTCCCTGTTGGTCAAGACCAAGTCAAGGTTGTTCCCCCCTCGTTGCCTCTCAGACCCTCTGTGTGAAAAACCGTCCCTCTATAGCTTCTAGGACGCGACGTGACCTGGCTGTCATCGCTGAGTGGGTCTCCCAACTAATATTCAGGAGATTGAAATCTCCCATAATTACTGTGTCCCTCCCGCGAAATATCCTAAGAATCTGGTCTGTCAGGACATCATTCAGAGTCTCAAGTTGACCTGGAGTGTGATAACATACCCCCACTGTCTGGTCCCTTTACTTGTCAAAACCCCTAAGTTTTACCCAGCCTGCCTCTACGAAATCCCCATCTGTGCTGCAGCCACAGTTAAGCTACTTGGCAGGCAGAGCTTGGAAGTAAATTAGTGCAGCGTAATTCAGTATCAAAAACTTGCTTGAATCTGTGTTTACATAGCACTGCACAATACACACAACATAGCAGAATGTCTTGTACATCTCCATTTTTAGAAATGGTAACCCCTGCTTTTTTCCCTCCCATAAAGAAACCATTGAGGCAGAACCCTTAACCTAAGAACATAAGAGCCATGCTGGATCAGACCAGAAGTCTCATCACCTGCTCCCCTAGTGACTGGGAATCAGATGCCTGCAGAAAGTGCACAAGAGTACATGAACTCAATGGCACCTGCCCCTTGCGTTTCCCAACAAGTGGCATGCAGGGCACACTGCTCTGGGGAGACTATGCCTTCTGTGTGCTGCAAAGTGCCATTTGGCTGTTAGTGACAGGACCTCCATCTGGAAGCACCACTCGTTTAAATAAAAACCTCATCTGTTTGTCATGTGTTCTGCAGATCACAGCAGCAATGTTTAATATGGCTAAGGCCCTTCCTGCACTTTGCATAGAAGCAAGACCATCAAAAGGAGACTTGACATGAGGCTGCAGCCAATCCTGGCCCTCAGAGAGGTGTGCCAATAAGATATGCACACTTCCAAACAGATTTGTCACATTCACTGTTTATATTTTTTACTTGTACACCAAGCAATGTGATGCCCTGTGAACCAGTTTTTAGGATGAAACTACTCATGAACCTGAAACATGGGGCCATCACTGAAAATGGCAGCCTAATGTCATATTCTCCTCTCTAATGCCTAGTGCAACCTAACTCAGGGATTTCCAGATAGACAACTTCTAGCTCCACCAATTGCAGGATATTGTGCAGCTGTTCAATTCTTTTTCTCAATGCAATTAAAAAATTGAAAGATGAAGGAACAGGTGGAAAAATTTGGAAAGGTTACAAGCAGAAGATGAGGCTGTCTGTCTCTGTTCCCCCTAAAATTGCACAAGTGTGGTGAGGCA